GCCATTGATAGCCTTAAATTAATACATAATAGTAACCCTAAAGTGGAGACTCGCACATACGCATTATATACACAAACACCTCTCTAAACATGCCTCTCCAGCATCTCATTTTAAGTCATTTTAGTACACTCCATTTTTTAGTAGCATGAAATCCGAGGGTATTCTTGGTCGAGTATCGCGTGGCATCTGTATTGACTTACAGGCGAGATACCTTTGGGTCGCAATCAAGGATTAATAAAACGTACCGGGCCCAATGTTTGATGTTTCATGAGCTGTGGCGTTCACTACAGCAATCAGTTGATTGAATTTTCTCTCCAGCGTTGTTTCAAGTGATTTGATGGCTTTCTCAGTGTTAGACGCAGAGGCGGTACTAGCCGAGATAGCCAAATAGTAAATGATAAACCAAACCTTAGTACTGGGATTCTGTCGCATCTTTTAACACGATTCTCTTCACGAAGGTTACTGAAATATTCGTTAGCGCCGGGAGAAACCGTAATGCGCGGCTACTTCCTGTGAGTGCATATTTCAGTTCAAACTGTTTGAAATCAAAACGAGAAAATATTCCCGCATATATAAGTTACCCCATCCGCCAATTAAAGCAGTGAGCGTAAAGTTCTTTTTCGGATGTACGTAAATCAGTATTCGAAAATCGCGTCAGTCAATGAATTGAGTTCCTTGATTTAACACTGCTACGTTGATCCAAGCCTGATTCAGAGGGCTAGAAGCATTGCCTATAGGAGAAGTCGCAAGGGAAAATACAGCGAGCAATCAGTCAATTTGATTAAAACCTCGATCGTTTGATTCTAAGTGGCGAGTAGGAACGAAACACTTTTTAGGCCTCGAATCCCCTTTACCATACCTATTGCGGAAAATAAAAGAAGAAAAACAAAGGTAATTGAACACTATAGCAATGTAGCTGTTAGCCTAGTTTCATTTCCAATTTTTCGACTCTTTGTAGGGTTACTTTAATATGCGGTCACAATAAAAGCAATGGACACTAAATACTATGATCGGCTTGGTAAATATTGGCTAAAAGCATTTTAGAATGCACATTACGCGATCTTATGATTCTACTTCAATTAATTTGGATAATCCCGACGCACCGAGAAATAACGATGGCACTTGGAATCATGTTCGCAATGATGGAATGTTAGGGAAAGAATACAGTACAGTCGTTGGTGATAATGCGTAAAAGGCAGGCGTATGATTATACGGGGACATACTCTGGTAGAGCGACGTAGAATGTTTTGACAGGAAACTAATGTCAAATTAATGCACGATCGACTAACGGGATGCTGATTTATCAATATCCGAGACCGTTCGAATCTCAAGAAATACAAAATTTTACGATTTGTTTAATTTGCCATTTAAATCAGAAACGTTGTGTCTGATTTGGAAAGCAGTCACTGTCGCTCTAGGGTTAAATTTGCCCTGACATCGATCAGGAAGTTAAACCCAAACATTTAACAGTATATGCTTCCGCCTTGCAGGAAAAAAAGAATACATGCAATCTGCACGCACAGTGAACAGTCAGAACAGTCAGACCCTGCTTAACACGGCGACACCTCATTATTACGGATAGTTTGCGTTGTCCCTGGGAATTCTCTCTTTATTTAAACCGCTTAATACGAACACTTTCTATTGCCCCTCAGTGCCAGTATTAACTATGCAATTTCGGAGAACGACTATTTCTACAATCAGTACAACTAATGATGCTCTATTTGGCAGTGAAAACCCATTAATGAGATCAAATTTTCTCTTCCATGTAAAATGAATGTTCTCTGCACGTTGATACAACTCGAGTGAAAGGGTCGTACCAATCTTTTTAGACTACGAGTAGTCCCTCATTTTCCCTCAGGGATAGTAGAGCGAGCTCAACGCGTACGGGCGTAAAAATCATCCAACGCGAGAAAGGCGAGATGCGGCGGGGAGAGAGAAAAATGACGGGCTACAGACAAAGCCCAAGCTCTTATGTTTTTCTCTCCCCGCCGCGTCTTGCCTTTCTCGCGTACCGGTGATGTTCACGCGCGCTCCCGCTCGCTCTACTATCCCTAAGGGAAAAAGATAACCTCGTCCCCGGGACGTCCCCAGGGCTCTCCCCCCTCTGGGCGGAGCACTTAGTCCCCAGGGCTCTCCCCCCTCTGGGCGGAGCACTTAGTCCCCAGGGCTCTCCCCCCTCTGGGCGGAGCACTTAGTCCCCAGGGCTC